CCAAGGAGTGCTCAGTGCCCCTGCCGAAGTTGGTTGAGAACCCTTTGTCCAGGGGTGGACACACACACACACACGTTCAGTCTCTGCTCTATATGTTCCTACCAACATAGTCCAGTGATGGGTGGGGGAACTATGTCAATCATCGACGCTTGAGACCTTGCTTCGCAGTGCAAAATATGTTGCACAACAACGAACTTAAGTTGACTCAATCTCCATGCTCTAAACAGACCCTCTCTTTCATCATTCCTTCCGCCTTCCCTCCACGTTTTTTGCTTTTGTCCTCTCAGCCATCTGCATGCTCTTGATCTCAGCATCTTTGCAGGGTTGATAGCTCCGTTGGACAAAAAGTCTCTTACTCTGCGATTTGATTGTTGTATGACTGTGGTGAAAAGTTCTGCCGCAGCCAGCCAAATCAACCAAATCAACCCATTCATTATGAAACTGTATGCATGCATCTTTGCACGTCAGTGGGAAGAAACTAGCACTGCCCCGCTGAACAAGGCAATTTGGGAGGTCCAAATTACATGAGCAACTTTGTGGGCAATAGGATGCCATGTTCCTGTGTACAAGCTCTGCTGCAACCATTGCTCGGACCCCACTTATTCTTTCTCATGGACATCACTTGCATAATGCATAGGGATCCAAATGCCCATTTCACTTGTCGACCACCTGCTTGCGAGACGTGTACGGCCGCCGGTCCAGGCCCTTTGTCTTGCGCACCTGACAGCAAGAATTGTCTGTTCAACTGTAAGTGATGAAAGCATTCACGTACTAAAGTTGTTTTTCGTGGCTGTCTGCTATTGGTAGTGAGGTGACCAGGCTGTTGTTCTCCTCGCCTGGCGCCGCAACATGCAAAAGACCGCCTTGGCGTAGCGCTTGCGCAGCGAGGGACTTGCGCCTTCTGGATCTTTTCGATGGTGGTTGATCTGGAGCAACTTCACCTGCCCAAGACCAAACGCCCACAAAAGCATTCGCAAGCCTGATACTACACTTATATGTGAGCAAAACAAAATCTGCATTATTGCTTGGCGCTAATATTACTGCCTGTCAGAGAGACCTTTAAACCTTCCAAGGATCCTTTACCGTGAGACTTGCAAGTGATTTGCATGCAGCCTCGCCTTTCCAACTGCAACATCCATGTCCTTGCAATCTTCAGCAGTCGCCAGAAGCTTTGCCAAGGAGTTGCGGTCTTCCACACCCTCCGGATTTACAACCATCATGGTTGTGCCATCAGGAAACTTCTCTGTAACTATAACATTCTCCTCCTCAGTCTCCAGGACCACATAGTGATGACAATAATCCAGGCGCTTGCTGGACCATTTCTGGTCTAAGCGTCTTGCTGTTTCAATGTCAATTGCTTCGACATAGATGCGGCCCCGGACGACCTTTTCATCATCACGGATTGCTTTGCCCGAGGATTTGCTAGCAGAAAGGTCCCAAGTTGGAGCTCGGGTGGAGAAGACAACACCTACTTCTTCTTGTCCTTCAGGCTCCTGAATTGTGCGAACTTCCAAGCTGCCCAACCTATAGATACGGAAAATTATTCCATCCTCCGTGCTTTTTTGGAACTCCGGTGCTGCTACAGGTAGAACCTCGTCGAGCAAGGTCTGTTGGAAGTTGGAATCCACTTGCAGCTGCACCAGGGCAGACTTGAGCTTCATGAGTACAGCAGGTGAGAATCCATTTTCCAGCTTGAAGCCAGAAGTCCACGACCGAGGAAATTCGGGTCCAGCATGGGAAGGCAAGAAGGAACGATCGCAAAAGGCCAGCTTCCTCTTTTTCAGCAACGCCTTCTCCTGATACGCCAAAGACCCAACTCAGATGTTCATGAGTCAAAGCACGGAGGTGGGGCTCGAAGTTGTCATGCAACAAATGTGGGCAGTCTCCTACTTTACAGTAAAAACCTGGAAAGTGAACCATGAACATGCTTCATTGATTGGACTCAAAGGTATGTCCATACTTGAGCATTAGTTTTAACCTAAATGGTTTTATTTCATCCGTGCCGTTTGGCTCTCTGGTCTCCTCATTCACAAGGTTCCGCAACTTTGAAATGTAGGAAGCGTTTGGGTTCGGAGGAATGAAGATATCACCTTCTCCAGTGCGGTCAGCCAAGGCTGCTTTGAAGATGCCTTGGAGCACCTCCTGCCCAGCGTTGTCTTTGAGTCGTCCCGGAATTGTTCCCTTGTGTGTTTTCCTTCTTTTTGCCCGCTCTTAATTAAGGGCTAGCCGCTACTACCTACTGGACGCAGGATAACTCATGCTATCCATTTGGTTCCTAGATGTTTAGGAAAATATTTATGTTTTTCAAATATAGCTCAAAGCCCTGCTCCCCTGCCCATGCCTTGTCGTCATCTTTGATGCTGTCATACCCTTCTCGCAGCCCCTTCAGAAATGCCTGGGTTGCAAGAAATTAAGCTTGATTGTCAGGGCGCAAGCCTCGCTTGGCAAACGGCCTTTGTTGCCTTTTCAAGACCACGCAATTAGGGACGAGTGCAGGTTGCTAGAGTGAGTTCACAAGAAAAGCCTCAATCTGCCCCGACCCAACGAAAAATCTACAGTAAATGAAAGCACTTCATCTGTCCCTTCAAGCATCCCACCATGTCCAAGCGCCCTCCCATACTGGGCAACCGCACCTTGCCCAAGTGAGTGCGTGCCTCCAGGGAGTCAGGACCACCACTGCAGGCAGCCCAACCACACTGATCCACCTCCAAGTTGAACTTGTCCAGGTCTAAGTCAACACCTTGAAATTAGACTTCTGGAACCCTTGAACCTGGTGGATGTCCCATCCAAGTTATTCGCAAATGACACCTCAAAACCTGATGGATGTGGATCTATCCGCTTGAGTGCGAAGCTGTGGTTTGCAAACTATGTTTATATACAATACAATATAACATGTATATATATATATATTAATAGTATTCTTAATTATTGTTATTTGTTTATTAGTGTTATAACATATATATATACATATAAAACATATTAATATTGATATTTATAAGTCTTCTCGGTTCAAGGATCAGGACGCCACCACCCGCCTTGGCACTTCGTGTCTTCGAGCACATCATCCTTGACGAGGAGCGAGGCACCTTCTTCTGACTCTATCTTTAGAAGCTCCCATGGACTGGGCCTCGAGGACTTACCAGATCTGCACCTCCGGCACCTGCAGAAACTGGATTTGGGAAGACAGGATCCAACCTGGATATAGATGCCGGCATTGTGGAGCTGCTTGGAAGCAACCAACTCAGGGAGTGGTTGGCAAGACCTCCAACTACCGGCCAGGGAGGCGATGGCAGACTCGGCAAACGAGATCTTTGACCCCTCCTCCAGGTCTTCCACATGCTAGACCACCCAAGCCAGGTCGCCTCCAGAAGAATGCAGCGGAGATCTTAGCCCCAGCATGGGACACCATGGATCCAACCATGAAGGACAAGCTCACTGAATTGGGCATCAATCCGACGCCCAAAACAACTGAACCTGACCTCACGGATGTGCTCAAGGAGAATTTGGCCAGCCTTCCGGCACCTGTGAAGGAACTGGTTGAGAGAATCACCAAGCCACAACCAGAGTCAGAAAAGGAGATGGCCCAGAAGCTCAAGCAGCAAGTCTCTACTCTAAGGGACATCTCGCATCGGAAGCAGATCCTGCAACAGAAGATTGACAGCACCAAGAAGCATTACCAGGACTTGCTTGATGAGATGAAATCTCTACAGACCAAGCTTGAACTTGAACAGAGCTCCCTCAACACCATCAGCACGGCCTACATGACCAAAGTCAGCGCCATGCAGATGGAACAACCACTGCAACCTCTGGACACTGAGATGAAAGACTCAGTCCCTGAGGCAGTTTCCGGTTTTCTGAGCACACTTGGACTCAACCTCACCCAGGAGCAAAAAGACCAACTTCATGTCATGTTGAAGAGGCCATCAAACGAGGCTGATGCTGAGGAAGAGGCCAAACGACGCAAGACCGCACCGGGCAGCCAAACGTCGGGTGGGTAACAGCCCATCCTCAGTCTCAGTCTGTGAACAGTCTACTTTGGGGATTGATTCATGGCACCTTGTCCATGAACAGGGGACACCTCCACATGAGTGCAGGGGTTTTGCACTTCATGTTGAATCACCTTTGCAATTAGGCTCAAGCACAAGCCGCCCTTTTCCACCTTCGGGCTATGGGCCCTGCCGGAGACACACTGGCGGCCCCAAGGTCCTGGGGGGGGCAATTTTGACTACTTCCAAGGCGGCACCGCGTCAGGCGGATCCGGAGGCACCGAGCTCTCCTACCTCAGAGCAGCCCCGTCAGGGGACTGCTACTTTCGGGACCTCCGCCATCCGAGCCCTGACCAGGATGCTGCATACGGTGGATGAACAGGACAATCAAATGTCCTTCGAGCAACAAACTCTCTACAACCTGTGCGTGCAGGACCTGAACACCTCGAGTCAGGCCTACAGCAATCACCAGACCCTACACAATGGGCAGCAGTTGCTCATGGACCTCAAACGCATGCAGAACCTGGCGCACAAACACCTTCAGGTACCTGGAGAAGTGGAACACTCGATGGCCAACATTTTTGTGATCTCCCAATGCCTCACCAGCATTCTTCATAATCCCAAGAACAAGTGCTTTGGCAATGCACCTTGGAGATGCTGGTGCTGGGCGGGAGGCTTTGCTGAAGACGCAGCACTGGCTTGGGGCAGATCACACCGAGCAGTCAGACAATACTTGTCTGACAGCGTGCCTCAACTCCTTGAAGGCCTTCATGACATGCACCAAGTCTGGGCTCCTTTCAAGGCGGATGATCAAGCTGATGCGGCTGATTTCCTGCATTCCTTATGGTCCTTTGCGGGCAGCACCTTCTTCGAAGGGAGATTCTTCCATCGGAGCACCAGAGGACAACTTGAAGAACGAGAACAATTCCCGCTCAATCTACTCTTCCCCGACGATCCGGCCTTTGCCACCCTGGACGACCTCATCAACCACTGGGCAGATGAGGGCAATGGACAGTACTTGCATGGGTCCCCAGGGGGGCTGGTCCTGAATCTGCAGCGGTCCACCCATCATCAAGGGCAATGGACCAAGCATCATCGAGAAGTTGAAATTCCCACGAGACTCAACATCCCCTTCTCTGAGGATGGCATCAATGTGCACTATGCCTCCTACCAGATTGTGGCAATGGTTTTGCACCAAGGAGAAGGACATGAGAATGGTCATTACCAAAGCATCCTGGCCATAGACAATGCCTACTGGCTGGGGGACGATGAGACCTACCCCACTCCGATTTCCTTCATTTCGCCTCAACAGATGAAGGAGATCTCTCAGGTCTGGCTGGTCCTCTCCAGCCCGGCTGAACTGGTCCCTGACACGGCCATTGAGATTGCGGAGACTTTGGCAAAGAAATCCAAGAAGGCGCAAGAGGTTTTGCAGTTGCTCTTCGGCAATGTCACCTTCTTTAGCAAGAAAGTACAGGACTGGATTTGGACAAAGGCTGACACCATCTTGATGCTTCAAGAAACCCACCTGCAGACAGATAGTCTCGACAACACCATGCAGTACTTCTCCACCAGAGGATGGAAATGTCATGGAGTGGCAGCCGAACCCACTGGCAATGGAGGCTCTACGGGGGGTTTCATCACTCTTCATCCTGCCCGACATCTCATCCATCACGTCCATGACTACACCAAGCAGGGCAATGGATGGACAGCACTATGTATGGAGCGTCAAGGCCAAAACATCTATCTCGTCCAGCTCTACCTCAGAACTGGCGAAACCCTGCAGTCATCGCTGAATGCAGACATCCTCGGACAGTTGCTTCACTTCTTGGACCATCTCCAAGCACCCTTCATTGTCGGCGGCGATTGGCAAACTTCCCCGGAGGAGCTGGCGGCAACCAACATCCCCAGCAAGATGAGAGCGCAGATTGTGGCCACCACGGGGCCCACGACACTTCAGGGCAGCCACCTCGATTTCTGCCTTGTTTCCACCTCTCTGGCCAGTTTCGTCACCTTGGAAGCAGATTGGGAAGTTCCTTGGAAGCCGCACTGTGCTCTTTCTCTGCAGCTGAATTGCACCACTGGGGCCGTGCCAGTTCAGCAACTTCAGCGTTTCCCACCCATCGCAAGGGTCTACCAACTTCCGAACAACTGGACCTCTTACAACGAAGATGATGGACCTTTTGAGATCATTGGGCAGACCATCACTGGGTTGGGCTCAGACTTTGCCAGGTGGGCCACACAGACTGAGAAGTACCTGTGTCAGACCCTGCAGAAGCCAACCACAGGCCGAGGATCCAAAATCAAGCTCTTCCAAGCTCCCTTGATCGACTCCTCCAAACCTCAGGTCTGGAAGAAAGGCAGCGCTGCCTACTGGGAGAGGATGGGAGTCAGGATCAACGTGGCTCAGCATAAGAGACACCCCAGCGTCCTACATGATCTGCGACAGATGCTGGAGAGGCTTTCCCAACATGCCTCGAAACAATTGGATCAGCCACACTCTGTTGAGAGACTCACCCAGTGGACCTTTGGAGCGGCCATTGATCCTGCCGAGCTGCAAGACACAGTTCATCAGGAACAGGAGAGAGCTCAACAGCAACTTCTTAGTTCCACCAACCATGAGTTCAGAGAGTGGCTGGAAAAGGCTCATGACAAGGGCCTCAGGGGCCTCTTCAGAAGTCTTCGTCAAAAAGACCATTGTTGGAAACGTCCCTTCCAGGACATTCCACACACACAGAGGATTCCAGCTCGAGAACAGCAATGGGGAGAGATCTGGAAACCACTTCCGGCCCCATGCCACATTAGAGGCATTCAGGAGTTGCGACGGATAGCACAAGCGGCAGCTGCTCAACTACCTCCAGTTGACACAGCTCTCCTGGGCAAACTCATGAGGAAGCTCCCCAACAAGGCAGCCGGACCGGATGGAATCTCTTACGATTTCCTACGGCATCTCCCTTATCCGGCTGTCTCCAGGTTGGCTTCTTTACTCACCGAGATGGAGCGCTCGGCTGAACTTCCCATTCAGCTTCGACACACCAACATTGTCATGATCCCAAAGAATGAGCGCATCGAGAGGCCCATTGCCCTTACATCATGCCTTTACAGGCTGTGGAATTCCTACAGGAAGCATGAGCTTCATCGCTGGCAGCTGTCTTTGGATCAGGATATGCCATGGGACTTTGCACGCCCTCACAAAGACTGCCTCTCCATCGCGGTCGGACGAATGTTGAAGGCTGAGATTGGCAAGCACCAAGGCATCCACACTGTGACCTGTTTGGCAGACCTCACCTGCTTTTACGACACGGTGCAGCTCGACCACCTCATTGAACCAGCCGAAGAACTCCATTGCCCACCGCTGCACTTGAAGCTAGCGCTTGACCTCTACACTGGCCCGAGGCTCATCCAGGCAGAAGGCATTGCAGGCAATCCCACCTACTATGAGAAAGGCATCCTTCAAGGCTGTCCTCAAGCTCCGGCAATAGCCAAATTGGTCCTCTTCCGGCCTCTCAGAGACTTGGTCCAAACTCACCCGGCCGTTCAGCTGCAGACTTGGGTGGACGATGTCTCCTATGACATCAAAGGCAGGGATCCTGACTATGTTGCCCGTGAAGCCATCCTGGCCTTCCGCACCCTGAAGCAACGCCTTGAGCAGGCTGGACTCAAGATCAACTCTGACAAAACCGGGTTCCTCACCAGCAGCAAGGAGGCCGCCAAAGCCCTGGACATCAACCTACAACCAGGGGACCCTCAGCACCACAATGTTCTTCGAGACCTTGGCATTGACGCCACAAACTCTAAGAGGAGAAGGGTCGCACAGATCAAGAAGCGATACCTCAAGGGCAGAGGCAGGGCTGGGATCATGATGCGCCTCAAGCTCAATCCCAGCATCAAATACAGGCTGCATCGAGGGGCGATTCATCCAGTGATGACCTGGGGCGCTCAGGCCAATGGGCTGGCCCCTCAAAGAAGACAACAAATCCGAGTCATGGCTGCCCGGGGTCTTCGCCTCCAGCGGTCTGGTTCTGTTGATGTCGTCTTCGACATGCATCCCAACAAACCAGACCCGGGTGACTCAATCATCCTTCAGCACATCCACACGGTCTGGAAGATTTTCCATGCCTTCGACGACAGTGCCCAGCACCTCTTTTGGATCAGCTGGAACTCAGCTTTGGACATTCTCCTCAAAGCCAAATACAGGTGGCAAGTTGTGACCGGTCCTCTCCAAGCCCTACAAGCATACCTCCTTGACTATGACTTCGACATCTCCAATGGCAAATTGTGGAAGAGAACCGGCTATGGAGGCATTCCTGACTGTCACCTTTGCCTGACGGATGGTTGGCCTGAGATTCATCAGAAGCTCCAAGAGGAATTTCGCTGGCAACGACTCCTTCGCCTGACAAGGCATGTGGGTTGCCACGATTTGGAACGTCCATTGGATTGGACGGTCAGCAACACGCTCCAGAAGATCTCCACGGAGCGCTTCAACTCTGCCTTGAGAGCCTTCCACCAAGGCACCTTCCATGGACAGTCCGGCAAGTGTCCACTGTGCGGTGTTGAGCTCACTTTCATCCACCTTCTTTGGGAGTGCACCTTTTGGGATGGCAAGGTCCCTGCCCTCCCGGACCAGTGGCGGGAGCGTCTTCAAGCTGGCACAGAACCTGAGCTGTGGAACCGAGGCATGACTCAGTCCATCTTCTACATCAAAGATGGGGGAATGGCAACCTTCAATGGAGAAGGGCTCTGGGATGCTTTAGAGGCGTGCCACCTCCCTCCTGGGCATGCTGTCTCTCTGGCCGTTGCACCCACCTGCAGAGACTCACGGCACAAGAGATTTGCCTTTGCGATTTGCATCCACCACATCCAGACCAAAGAGAGAGTTGGTTCCTTGACCGGCATTTGTCCAGGTGACGCCACCCGTCTTCGAGCCCTCTTCTATGGTTTGAAGCACATGTCTCTTCATCTGAGGGACAAGGCTCATGTGGCAGTTTTCAGCCAGGCCATCTGGGACGCTTGGAATCCATGGACGGCCTATGCCAAATTCCCTGATCTCACTCAAGGGCTGGAGCATGAGGACTTTGCTCAGATCAGGTTACTCCTTTTCCAGGCCAAGGAAATGCACTCCAGCCCAAACCGACAGGCCTTCCAGCAAGACACACAGGCAAAGGCCACTCAGGCAGCTCTCCTTGCCAGGCCAGAGGAGACCCTCGATCTCCAACGCCACATCGACGAAGACACCAGAGACATCCTTCACGTGGCAGCACGACGAATTGAGTTTCTCCTCAAAGACAAAGCTCACTTCATTCACAAGAGAGAGGAGATTCCTGACAGTCAGAAACTACCCCTTGCTACTCAGAAGAAGCAGCTGCTGGAGCAATTCCTGTCTCAATCCAGTGCCTTGGGACATCAATGGATAGCTTACAGATCGGGAGTGCAATGCACCCTGTGCAAGCAGCGATTTCATTCAAAGTCCATGGTCAATGAGATCAAGGAAGGCCTCGCACAAGCTTGCACTCATGCTGTGCCAGGCCGAACTTCCAAGAAGACCCGCTTTGAGGTCATCCACGATCTCTTGGACGCCCAAGGCGAGGCAGTTGATGGCACACACCATCTACGGCTTGACAAAGCGTACCTCAGGTGCGACCGTTGCAAAGGGTACGTGTTGGCTAGAGCAGGTGAGGAAATCTTCCACCGCTTCCTGGGAGAGGTCTGCTACCATGGACCTCTCGAGGCCAGCAAATGGTTCGGGCACCCTACACATGAGATGCTCCGCACTGGCAATAGCTTGGAGTGCAACCTGTGCCACCTCCGCACACGAATCCATGGCGATGAGATCACCCTGACCCAGAAGCTCCGGAGCCCATGTTCCAAGCCGCGATCTGTCGACATCAGGACTTGGCTGGCATGAGACCAGCGACGACCTTCCACTGCGGAAAAGAGCCGGACAAAAAAAAAAATATATATTGATATTTATTATATATATATACAATATTACTGTGTGTATATATTTTTTGGGGGATGGTTCCCCCTCTAGCGCTTTAAAGGTGTCCCTGAAATTGCCGTATTTGTTGATGCTTGTTGGGTGTGTATCTGTTTGACTCAATGTTTCAATGTGTTTCAAAAGGGGGTACCATAATATATAATATACAGTATATATGTCCTTGCATGCTCAGATAATTGGACTTGTTTGACAGAAAACAAAAGGTCTTAACACATTCCTAAGACCAAGTCTCGACACTAAAGTCTCTAGAGTAAAGCTTCCATAGAAGGTGTTTGTACTGAACTTGCTGGAAGTGATCTAGGATCCAAAACACGTTTCCTTTCTGGATCTGGGATTCCCTACTCAAGGCCATTGCCACGACATGTTCCTCTACTTATATAAATTAGCAATCCCTCTACTTGAGCAAAGGCTCTTTCCTTCCAGCTCCTTTTTTGCTGATACAATTGATTGACACTCATATGTTCCTCTCCCCTCAACACTCTTCCCTACAAGCACTTTCCAGTTCCTACTCTGAAATTACTCAAGTAGGCTATATACGACTTCTTGCTTAGCTGTTTTCCAAACTCTCAAATGTGCTTTAAAATTGAGCACCAAAAATGGAAAGCTGCTTGAATCTTCACAAGGCGTTTCTTGGTCAAATTGCTTTCTACTCTTAAATGCTGTCATTCTTAAGAACATCAAGATCGCACAAGAGGAACCCTACTAAAAACATGTAATGAGCTGCACCCGATGCAAAAGGATTGATTAGCTTCTATCCAAGGCTTTGGACCTTGCTCATCCACCAGAGGTTTATGATGAGTGTACATGTTCAACGCGTTACATGGTGTTGCACAGTGAGTTGTCATGTTGTGATCAAGCATTTAACTTGGATTCCATGTTTGTGTTTGAGACTCATCATCTGGATGATACTTGGAAATTCATTGATTTCTATCAGAATTTGAAGGTGCAAATCAGTTCCAAATTCTTATGCAGTACATCTTAAGCAAGTATAGTTTGTTCAAACCACTTGCTCTGGTGCTAGCACACCACAGCCACTCTTTGCTCACTGAATCTGCTCTTAGCCGCGAGTAGAGGGCTCCTAGTAACGTCCTTGCTCCTAGTAGTATGGCCAGCAGCCCCTAGTAGCGTCCTTGCTCCTAGTAGCGATGCCCTTTGCTCCTAGTAGCGTCCTTGCTCCTAAAAAGGTATCCATAGGTAGTGAAAGTTTTTGTGAGAAGCATCAAATCACTGAGAAGCAAACAGTGGAAGCATCAATTGATAGGAAAATAAATTTCAGCAAATGGAAGATAATGGAAGAGGATTGATCGGCCTCTACCCTTTCCCAGTAAATATATAGGCATAGTAGATTCTAGCAGCAGAACTCATATCATGCTTTTCTTGCATTGTTCCTCTTCCCTCTTGCTTAGTCTGTCCCATTGGCAGTATTGGCAGTAGTGGCCGCTCTCCTTGTCTTCATATTCAGCTTGTCTCTTTCTTCCTTGGCCATCCTGTTTTCCTCAATGACTACGTAGCCAAAGAAGAATGAGCCAAGCATGTACACGTCAAACAAGTAATTCCTAAGCAAGCTAGTAAAAGTGAATTTACACAGGTGCCAAGGCCCCCCTCCCTACAACAGCTCCATTCATGACCTCCTACCCATTTTGAATCCCCCGCAACCATTTGCTTCAAATCTTTGAAGATTCTCTTTGGGGGGTAGCATACGTATATATATATATGACTATACATGTATATAAAGGCTTCAACTTGTTCGGCTCACCTTGAGGCATCTCTCCACGCTGCGTGAGCTGGAACCTCTGTGGCATAAACATGGGACGACCAGAAGGGCCCAGCTGCATACCTGCAAAGCGACTTAGGTTTTTAGCGGCTGTTTCTATTTCATTGACTTGCATGTTTCCGTTTCAACCCCTCAAGTTTTCTGGATTGTTTGATGCGGCTATCACAAATTGAACTTGATTGCTGCGTACTCTGGGACATTTTACTTGTGAAGGTGATGTCAGTTCGAACGGAGTATTGGTGGGCCTTGAAGGCCAGCTTGTTGCATGACCATTCCAGGAACACCTGGTCGCAAGGCCTCAGCTGAAACTTGAAAGGACTCTCCCGAAGGCCAAGAAGGCCAAGTGTCTTCACGAGATCTCGGTCGTGATAGTGTTCGACAAGAGATGCGGCTTACAAGTTTGTTCTTCAACGGTTGCAAGTTTTTTCACTGCTATGCCATGCATGTCATCGTGTGATCCACAAGCTCTGAGACAACAGTTGACATTTTGTTGTGTCTATATTATAAATGTCTTAAAGCCCCAAGTCCTCAAGTTTCTCCAGAGCTGCATGGCGCTGTGCCAACTCAAACCGGTCCAAGCCAAACTCAACACCACCATAGATGGCATGGAGATTGCTCACACTGCCTGCAAGGATCCAGCACTTAAACCTACTTGACCTTTGCCGCTTTTGTGCTTGGAACAACACTACTCACTACTCCTTATGGCTTTACTTACATCAAACGGCGTTCATCTACATCTCAACGCACATGTGTGATTCCTTGTGAAAGGGCAGCACAGTCTTGGTCGGACAGAATGGCCTGTTCCTCTTTCTGCAAGGGTTACCGATTGCCACTTACAACATCTTGCAACCACACAATACTACAAATACTCCGATACTCCAACGATTGCAACCAAGCCTACCAGCTGCAAGAAACCTGTGAAACCGAAGGTTGGCTTCGCCCATATTCACAGTTGGCTGAACAAAACAAGCAAGCTCATCTTTTAACATCAAGCCACGAAACCTATCTGAATCAGAACAAAGGATGCGAAACAAACATCCAGTCAGACTTCTTGATGTCTCAGAATTGGCAGGGCATTGAATTGACGTGCCTCTTGGCCTGGAGTGCACGATACCAAGTCTGTGTTTACACTATCACTATTCAAAAGGCCAGTTGAAACATCTTCGGGTTGGCCGCTTCGCCTGTTTCATTATCAACGATCTTGCCATTCTCCAGGCGGATTCGAGAGAGGCCACGCATATTCCAAAGCTGTGGAATTTCAGTATGGAGTTCTGGGGCTGTGTCGGCCAGAATTTCCTGCGGTACGCTCGTACGTTCAATCCCAAGGACAGCTTGTACAGCGATAGTCTGCTACTTTCCATACCTTTGTTGTAATTTATGGATGCTTCCGACAAGGTTTGCCATGGTTTACCTCTGATGCTCGCTGTCCTCACCAATTGTTTTCCACAGCTCATCCAAGCAAGCACCAGAGTCCACCAGAAACTTGGCCATTACGGAGGCCTTGCCCAACGCGTGCTGGCACCAGAAATTGGTGTGCCTTTTTACGATTGTAAAATAACCCAAGTACACCAGCCTTTGAACATTGATTCAAGAACTGTGTAGTAAGTTTTGCTGTCCGTAGAATCCGCACATGTGGAGCCAAGCCTTCGCCAGCTCACGCAAGTGGAAAATGACACTCTTCCGCTCAGCAATCAAGTCAAAGTTGCGAGTGAAAGCCTGCAGGTGTTCTTTGCCAATCTCTAGACACACCAAAAGTAAGAGACACAAGGATACGGATGACCAATCTCTCTTTTATATAAGCATGAATGGCTTCTGCCGGGCGACATCAGCAAACCTTCGCAAAGGATGGCTGGCGCTAGTGATAGGAGTATCCTGAATCAACAAGGTGAGCATTGGATAAAGAGCGCTTACAAAAAAAAGGACTTCCAGTAGCTGGCTGGCTGAGATAGATTTGGGATCCATTCTTCCAAGCACTTCATTGCTTTCACACAGCCACTGGAAGACAATAAGCAAAGATGCTAGTGTTTCTCTGTTTCTCTAAGCCTTTATCCTTCTGTTCTCATCACTCCACTGCCCACCTGAAGGCCGTTGGCGGTGAGGACTTGCTCGCGAGCCTCCAGCTAACCATTCTCATACTTGGCAAAGTAGTACTGACTCTGTGCCCACGACGTTGGACAAAATGTTCTAAGATGTTCTAAGACTGGAGTGACAATCCATTTCATACCACGACTATGCAGTCGATACTGTGCTTCTGTCAAAGCATTGCACCTCCACACCCATCTTCACGAGGGGTATCAGAGTCTTGTCCTCTGCCATCTGCACCTCGATGCACATGAATATTGAATTGAACCAGAGAAGCCCTGGTTGCATGGACGACATCAATCGACCTCGTTAAATACACCTCCAGTTTCTCTGATCCCCACCTGGGCCTTCTTGACGACGAACCACTCACGCCCCGCCCACGGCTGGTGGTGCAAATTCAAGGCCTCCAAGTGCCACAAGAATAGCTCGAATCATGAGAATCTTCATTCCTCTTCAAATGATGGTCTCTTGCGTTGTTTCTCCTTGTCTGCTGCTAGGCTCTTGCAACTAATAACTGCTGCAAAGTCAAATACACTGGCCAGAAGAAAGTTGCGCTTCTTGATGTTGAAACTCAGGACAACCCTAAGAATCCTACACCATGACACAAGGGAAGGTGTGGGCGGTCATTTGTC